TGGCATACCAGTTAGCAGTGAGAAATAACAAGCGGCATAATTTTAACCAAACTAAGGAATCAGCCGGAAAGGATTGGCTTAGAGGATTTTTACAAATAAACCCAAGTTTATCATTTAGGAAACCTGAGCAAACCTCCGCAACTAAGGCCATGGCTTTTAACAAAGTTAATGTATCCCAATTCTTTGGTTTATTAGGGGAAGTATATAACCAGCACAAATTTACAGCAGATCGAATCTACAACTGCGATGAAAGTGGGATTTCTGCTGTTTCAAAGAATACTTCCAAAATACTGGTAACAAAAGGGAGGAAACAAGTATCATCTGCCGAAGGGGGAAAAGTGCAGCTGGAGGTTTTATGCCACCCATGTTAGTGTATCCTCGACAGCGAATGAAACCAGAATTGCTGAACAATTGTTCACCTGGAATGTGGGCAGAATGCCATGTCTCTGGCTGGATGCAGAAAAACATTTTTGAGAAATGGTTCGACAAATTCATCGTATTTTCTTAAGCAACCAAGGAGAAACCAGTCCTGCTATTGTTGGATGGTCATTCAACTCATATACAGAGTCTGACCATAATTGATAAAGCAAGGGCTAATGGTGTGGTCATTCTCTGTTGGAATTGGCTACGATCAAATCCAGGAAAAGTTGTTACTTAGTTTCAAATCGTTGAGATTTTGGGCAAAGCCTTTCTCAGGGCTGCAACTATATTGACTGCTATAAATGGTTTCAAAAAAACTGGAATTTGCCCTTACGAACCAAATATCTTTCCAGATTCAGTGTTTAAAGCTTCTATCTGCTTCTATCACAACAGACATTCCTTTAATTATAAATGAAGCCGCTAACATTATTGTCAATAGTGACCAAGGAAGTGCTTCAAATGGCTCGCGTAAGCAGGTTATACCACAGACAAACGATGGTTCTGTCAACCAAGCCGAACCTAAAGAGCAAGATGCGTTTGCTGAACCTTGGTGCTCACATTGGAATGATAGTAACTCCAATAACCACACCACAAACCAACAAGCTCCCAAGAACAACACATATCATCAATTAAGATCCTTTGCGGTTTCTCCTGAACAAATTGTTCCTGTTCCTCATGTCAGAAAGAAAAACATCCGGAAATCAGGCCACACAACAGGAAAAACTGTTGTTGTAACTAGCTCGCCTTACATAAAAGAACTTCTAGAGAGTGTAAATAAAGTTAAGCTCGGTAAAAAGAAGGACCAAGAAGAAAAGCATGCAGAAGGAAAGAATGCAGAAGTGAAGAATGCTCCTAAAAAAAATGTTAAAAAATTGCTATTTATTCGTAAAGAAAAAAGGGGAAAACATAAAAAACAATAACTAATCTGCCAAAAGAAATAAAAAAAGAAAAAAAACGAAGAAGGAAGCACGTTAGATGCAGATGGCACTGCGTGTCTGTATTGTGGCCATTTCTACTCTCAGTCTACAGAAGGATGGCTGTCATGCGTCTCTTGCAAAAAGTAGGGTTACTGTTCTTGTGCGGGAGAGGAGGACGAGGATGCCGAGGTACACCATATCTGTGAATTTTGTTTACAAAAGGACGATGAGAACTGAATAATAAATCCGTAACTTTTCAGATGACACAAACTAAATGTTACTTGCGACTGAAGTATTTATCCTTTTGAACATTTTTTTCAAACAATGTCAAGATTTTTTTTAATTATAATAAATTTTCAAATAAATTTTTTGCATTTGAATAAATCTGTAATTTAAAAACCTATGCATTTCCAATTATTGAGCCACCCCATCTTACCCTCACTATTGGGCAAGATGGGGTACTTGAAAAACATTGAAAAAAATTTTTTTCCTACCATAAATACTAATTTTTTTTGGTCCTAATTTTTGAAATTAACTTCAGAAATACTGAAGTTTTAATTACATTACCTTGTATTTGTATTGAGCATTTCTTACGACTACAAAAAATGTTTAAGTGCTTAAGTACCCCGTCTTGCCTTACCTTCCCCTACTTCCAAATTTTGAAAACTTAACGTGCCATAGTAAAGTGATCAAACGTTCTAGACCGCAGTACTCGTCACCAAAACATACTCCATTACGTTGCTTAAGCATGTTCTCAATCCTAAATTGATATCCCAAAAATTGAGTGTTTTCTGATTTTTTGAACAAATGTCTGCTGGAGCAGATTTTTCTAGAAAAATTCGAATAACTCGAGAACGACCGAATCAAATTGCAAAAAGTAAAGTTATTTATAAACCTACAAATCCAAATATGTAAAAATATACAGGGTGTTCCATTTAAAAAAATAAAGTTGGTGGTTATACCGGAAGTGCAAGAAATCTGAAAATATTTTAGACGAAGAGATCGTAATTGATAATACTTAAGTCTGAATTCTCAAATTTTTATTTTCGCCAGAACCCCAGAAACGTCTAATGACCGGTCTCGCTGAGACACCCTGTATACCCGGGGGTATTTACCCAAGATGGGTATTTAGAGGTATTTATAAAATTTGATTTAAATTGAGTTGATGGCAGTTTTGCAAATACTTCAAGAATGCAGAGTCCATTATCGATACACCAAACTTATTTATAACATTTACAAGAATGCTACATTGGCGGTAAAATTGCATGAAAGTACTGACCGAATACCCATTGGGCCCAAATAAGACAAGGCGATATAATGTTGAACCCAAATTGTTCATCACAGCCCTGGAGAGTGCATTTAAACAACTGGATTGGACCCAAAAAGGTATAAACATTGATGGCAATACCTAAGTAATTTGCGCTACGCGGACGATATAGTCCTTATTTATGATACTCTTGGAGAGACGAAACCGATGCTGAACATATACAGAAGGCGTGTGCAAGAGTCGGGCTAAATATCAACAAAATTTAGGACAAATCTTGTTCCAAGCTCTAATATCAATACTGGTGATAATGAATACTTCTATCTTGAATACTTTCGATGGTATGTATGCCTTTCCATGTTTTGACGTAGTGATTGCGTTTTGAACCTCACTGATTGATATAGGTTCCATTACACTATCCTTTCTTTGGTGTGACGGACTACTGTCTATTTCCAAATCAGTTTCTATGCTTCATAGGTTTTGGAAATAATTTTTCCAAATGTCCTTCACTTCATTCTCACATATTATTTTTCCTGTTCCATCTCAGCATAGAGCTGTGTGCGCTTTGTGCCTCTGTCTTAACTGTCTAACAAATTTATACACATTCCTGGTATTATTATCTTTAAAGTGTACATATATTTCGGGAAAGTTTCTTTAGAAGATTTCTTTAATGCTTGAAAAACAACTTTGAATGTCCTGAATTGAGTATAAGTCTAATATCAATAACTAAATTCAGTTTTTGTGCTTCATTAATTTTTGTTGTTTGATTCTTTTCTAGTCATATTGCACTTCCATCAAACTTCCTGGTCTCACGGGATCTCTTTCTAGCTAATCTTTGATCTCTTGCTGTTTTAATCAGCCAGGTTTCTTTAATTTTTTTATTTTTCCCCTAGCAAATCTCATGACTTCTCCGATTCCACAAAATTTTCTTACAATTTTATTCCTAACTCTATCTCTTCTTGTCTTTTCCACTATTGCTCTTAAAGTACTCATCTCAGTTGAGCAGTTCGCATCGCAGCGATATATCTTGGCCATGAGGTTCGTGTATCGAGAGATAATAATCAAACAAGCGAAGTAACAGAAGGATGATACTCGCATGGGCAGCCTACAGGAAACTTTGAGACATCTTCATGACCGATATTCCTGTAAATACCTACTCGCCGGGTATTTACCAAGCGCCCATCACTGTGCATGCATCGTCTTGTTTCGAAACTGTAGTCAGCGTCTATTAGCCCATGATTGATATTTGTTGACCAAAAATGTTGTTTACCCATTAGCTACAAAGGTATGGATGACCCAAACTCTGAATAAACAGCGTTACAAAAAGGAGCAATTGGAAATAATAGTCTTAAGCTGAAGCAAATTAAGATGACTTTTCAAGTACAGTTAAATCACCGCAGATAACATATATACAAAAAGTAAAAAGTTAGTTATGGAAGAAACTTACCCCCAAATGTTGAGATACTGATTATGGTGGGACTTGATGATGGGGAACAGTTATGCCACAGGATATTCTATCAAAATTATTCTGTAAGTTATGCCAACATCATATTTTATCAAGATCATTTCAAATTGGTGACCGATAACCAATATTGCAGATGTGCTGTTGCGGTTGTCTATACATACATTTTTTTAACCTCATGTAAGGTATTTACCGGGAATTTCATATATCGTATAGGTCTTCAGACGCACGACTAAATAGGACCTAGAACAAGCTTTCTGTATATTGCATCTTAAGTAAAATTCACTGTATATAGTTAAAGAAGTAATGGGTCTATTTATTAAATACGTTGCTTATTCCAAATATGAAGTAGCAAAAATTACCTTTTTTATTTCTCAATGCTGTGCTATAAGAAAATTTTGATAAATATACTCCAAAAAGAATGAAAATAGTGAAATATATACAATAGAATTTTGAATTTACCGCGTTTTTTTAACTCACGTCAAAATTGACGTCTTTCAAAAAATTTTTGAAATATGGTGCTATGAATAATAATTGAAACAAACTTCCTGTTTGTTTCCATGGTATAAAAAATATTGTTCCTTTTGAAGTAAGTAACTTGACAACAAAAAAGCTTGCAAATCCGTTACTATCACCAGATTTTTTGAGATTAATCCCATGGAATCAACGAAATAAAATCGTAAGTTTATGTTTTCATCAATTAAATTTAAAATGTTTCGCCTAACAACATAGGTGCCAACTAATTTTTAATTATAACCATTTTTTAAATAGCCTCATTATAATACATATGTCTCATTGTTATATTTAATTATTTGCAGAATAATTATTATTTCTGTGGTAATATAAAAATAAACACTGAAAAATTAGATTTGGTTAATTAAAAAAGTAAAACGAGTTAAAAACCAAATTAGGTTGGTAATAAAGTCGTTAAAGTAGTGAGTGAATTTCTCGATCCGTCAAATTGGGGTAAAGTGTCCGATAATCAATAAATAAATTCCTTATGAAATACGCTAAAATATAATAGCGATGGCGGATTAACTGAAACTATTACATAACGTTTTTGCTTCGGTTTGGTGTCGGGCAACGTGCAATGTAAAGAGGTTATCATCGCTTAACGCTAATATCAGCTGTCAAATCGTAGGAATTTATAGCATCGTATCCTTGGTGACTGCCTTAGCAACCGATACAACAACATAGCAACACAGGTAATTTCCGAATTTTAAACAAATTTTTATAACCTTTTTTGCAATTACACTGACGTAAAATCGTCATCGAAAATCATCAGATTCTCGGTATTTTTTTTAGTACCCATAACTCCAATCGATAATCGTTATCCGTTCGCTACTTATTAATCATTAATAAATCACACCTCAGCGCGTATTTTACAAATGGCCTCTTTGCGGTGGCATAGGGGCCCTTTAAAAAAAAATTATCGACGTGCCCCTTTTCGAAGCAACTAATTTTGCGGTAGGGTGGAGTTGTTAATTAAGCGTTTGAAATCAAAGGAATCTAAACTTGAAGAAAACTAAATGGGTTTAAAGGATTTAGGGGTTTAATTGCGCAGATTTAAGGGTTAGATATCTGGAGAGACTGTCAAATTTTTTCTTATATTTTAGGTTATCTCAAGGATTTGGTTCATTTCTACCTATACGTTAATTTTATGAAAAAATAACATAAAAAAGAGAACAGCTGGTTGTGAAAAGAGGATTGAAATCTTAATTTTTTTTTGATTTATTTCAAAAACGAGAAGAAAAAAGGATGTTTTAGTACTAATAGGTAAGATTAAATTTTTATTAACTACAAATTAAACATATTATATAAGTAAGAAGGCTTTTATGGCCGGTGTTAATTAAACTAAAACTCACTGGAACTAACACTATCACTAGAACTCGAAACTTTTAGGTTAAGTTTAATGTTTCGGATGCCTTGTTGCAACCTTCTTCTGATATACTTGACTTCAAACTTGTTTCTGAATAAGGTTGCAACATTGCATCTAAAACATTAATATTTTTTGAAAAAAGTGCTACTAAGTCTAGTGTTAGTGCTAGTTTTAGTTTAAATACAAATTATATATATGTAATAAAGGTTGTTTCAAAAATGTGCTGTGCCAAACAAATATTATATAATATTGAAAACTTTTTTGATTCATAATCATCATAAAAATTGGTTTAATCTTAATCTTAATCTTTTTTTTAAGCTTTTTACTAAATTCTAGTTCCTTTTAGGCCCACTTTTACCATCCTCCTGATAAATCACAGAATAACTACTCTGTGGATAAACTATCTAAGGGTTAGTTACCATGGTTACACTTTTAAGCGTTTTTCTATAATCACTAGAATTATTATTATTATTATTGCTGCCGGGCTGAGGAGAACAGCCCCTCTCGTCACCGCGACCTAAAGATGTATTGTAACTTAAGCCCTCCAAAACATTAGGCCAAATGTAGGACCTTGATGTAGGTCCTTAGTATTGCTCTTGTCCCTTTATGTCGGTAGGTGTTAGGCGTACTTTACCGAAAATTTTGTGTCTTAGGCGGCCTCTGGTGACCCATTCACACAGTATTGTGAATGACAAGGAAGAGATGGTACTTTAGGGGCGCATGGCTAGTCAGGAAGCCTGAGAGCGACCTTACATCCCCTTTGCTGAGGCATAAAACCTCGTTGGTTTTGTTTTGCGATGGAGTTATCATACTCTTCCCTTGTCTGTGACCTTGAACTTCTTTCCAGTGTAAGCTACCTTTGAGGCCTCCCAACTATTACCTGTTTTAAGTGGCTTTTTTGTACTCCACAACCGGGTTGGGGTCCAATAAACTGCGTTTTCACTTCTTTTTTGGCCAGCTTGTCTGCCCTTTCATTGCCCTCAATGTCTCTATAACACTAGATAGTGCTACTGTTAATTCTTGTTTTAATTATTATTTATATCCAGGTTGTTGTATGTTAGTGTTAAACTAAACCTAGAACTAACATCCATCGGCTTTAGCCACATGTCTCTTAAGATGGTTAAACCCGAATGTTTCGACTTCTTGGTCTAGTGTTAGTTGTACTGATGGTGTTTGTGTCAGAATTAAAGCTGCTAAGATTGATTATGCCTAGAATACAACAAGTAATCGTCTCCATTGTATCCTAAACTATTTTTTAACCTACTAGAAATAAAACTTCATATACTAGGAATGTAATAAGAAGTATTTGTATAAATAGCTCACAAATGTTGCCATCTACAAGGACGAAATGAAAACCAAGTCGCGTTTACATTAAGTTTGCACTTACAGTCAGTGTTGTTAAATACCCGGGTATTTATTTTCAAGGGTAAATATCCTGGATATATACCCGGGGGTATTTACCCAAGATGGGTATTTTGAGGTATTTATAAATTTAATTTAAATTGAGTTGATGGCAGTTTTGCAAGCACTTCAAGAATGCAGAGTCGCTTATCGACATACCAAACTTATTTATAACATCTACAGGAATGCTACAATGACGGTAAAATTGCATGAAAGTATTGAAGAGAGTAAAAGTAGTAAAGTACTGATTGTGAGTAAAACAAGGCGGGACGCTGTTGAACTCAAATTGTTCATCACAGTCCTCAGAGTGCATTTAAACAACTGGATTGGACCCAAAAAGGCATAAACATTGATTGCAAATGCTTAAATAATTTGCGCTACGCGGACGATATAGTTCTTATATCGGATAGCCTTGGAGAGATTAAACTAATGATGAACGACTTAAAGGAGGTGTGTGCAAGAGTCGTGCTAAATATCAACAAGAAGAAATCAAAATTTATGATAAATCTTGTTCCCAGCTATGTATATCTTGGCTATGAGGTTCGTGTATCGAGAGATAATCAAACAAGCGAACTAAACAAGGATCTTAGAGACATCTTCAAGAGAAAAGGCCAAGAAAGGCTTTCAATCAATTTTTTTAAATTTTAAATAAAAATTTTAAATTTTCTTTAACATTAACGGTAACCACTGCCAAGAGGGTCCCAGTTGCGCAAAGATAGATGGAGAGGTCGATCCTGGGTCTAACTCTGAGGGACTACATACGAAATGAAGACCTATGAAGAAGAACTGGCGTAAATGATGTGGTCAACATTGTGGCAAAGCTTAAGTGGAACTGGACGGGTCATGTCGTACGAATGAAGAATGAGCAGTGGACAAAACGGTTGCTTGAGAGTGGAGACCGCTAGCGAACAGACGAAGTAGACGTCAAAAGAATGACTAACAATTGGATTCAAACAGCACAGAATAGGGAAGGTCTATGTCCAACAATGGACGCAGAGGGCTGCTTGGTGATAATAATCATAATAACTTGATCTAATCTAAATTACGACAGATTCGTCTAATGATAATACGTCTTTGATTGTTGACAATTCCTCGTTTTCAACGTCCTCATCGTCTTCCTCTTCAATTTTATTGGAATCTATATATTTTTACTGGTATCACTTTTATACCCACTGTTTGGGTATTTACCCAGCGCCCATCACTGCTTACAATATAAAGATTTATTTGGCTTCCTCGTTTTAAAATTTTTGAATTATTCTTCATCTCATTCCAGAATAAAACTACTTGCCCTCATTATCAATTCTTATCCAATACTTAACTTGAAACATTTTCAATCTGACAAAACTAGCAATTTTATATAAATATATTAAACTAAAATTAGAACTAACACTAGAAACTTTCGGGTTAAAGCACGGCAAGCTTTTTTTTTCCAAAATTTATCAAAATGGCTCGATGTTTACCTCAAAATAGCAACATTGTCTTTGGCATGGCGTTCCGATTTCATATTTATACCATCCAAACCGAGTCGGGCCTTGACCTCCCGTATACACTGTCTTCAACCCTTCCGGTCTAGCGAGTTCCAGCGTCGCAAATTTCAAGAGCTATTCTCATCAACTGAATCCTCCTGAATTTTGCGCACGTCTAGGTATTCTCCTTTCATCAATCCGCCGGCTCACATGGCGTGAAGCACGCTGATTTCATGAGTTTCCTCATGGTTAATCCAATTAACCTGTTTAAGCAGTATGGAGTTAATTAAAACTTCTCTGTTGACGTGGTATGATCGCGCCATTCTGCGTATTTATTATTAGCTAGTTTCCCGATGTATGAGGTACTTGAAAGTGTAGGTGCAAGGTCATCTTCCTCCTTTAGCACGCCTTAGTCAAGCCGTTTTGAGTTTTTACGGTTATATCTTTGTTTATATTTGCACTTGGTAATATTTTAATAAAGGATCGAATAATGTACAGCTAATCTTTCACCATTTCTATTAAAAAAGACATTACTTACTACAAATTGTAAAGTGATTTAAAAAATTGTTTAAGTATTGTAAAATAGCTTCGAAATGTGTTTAAAAATTATTGATTTGCCTTTAAATTACATGTTGTAATACAAATTATTTATTTTTTGTTTAATATATAATTTTTGTTTAGCACATTTCCGTTTTTGAAACATGCTGTATATAACTTGAGTACTGCTAACACAAATTCAACTTCATTAATTTCGAAACATCCTAGAAACTCCGCCGAAAAGGGTGTTGTCATGGGAGGTTGTCATAGCAAGGCACCATCTTCCCTGAAAAGGATGACTTTTGTCCTCCTAAATCTCTCCCACATCATGTCCTTTTAAATATCAATTTTTCTGAATCACTTTTTATTTTGCTTGGTGTCATTCTGTACCAGCCTTTCAACTTACATCTATCAAATTGAAAAAAAGAATTAAAATTAAACGAAACGAATTACAATATTCCCATGGAACTTCCTGTATCATTTTGTCCCCCCGTTTAAAATTATATGAGTCACAGGCGTATGCAGTACGCAGGTAGGGTTATTATCTAACAACCAGGTGGATGGATGTACGTTGCGCCAAAGAGATAATTGGGCTGTTACCAATCGAAATGCACCACGTGCAATAAGGGTGTACAGTTACTCGTACTTTCCTCCTTGCAGTTTTTGGTGGGGCCGACTTTTTTCCACCAGGTGCACGTGCTAGATAGTGTTACAACTATTTTGTTTGGCATGTGCTATGATAGGGGTGGCATAATTAAAAGGTGGGGTGATCGCGCAGGTGGGGTGCTTTTTACTATTACCTTTCATGTGTGCAGTCGTTTACTACATCACCGCGCTAATCCATGATTGCACCAGGTCACTTTGTTTTCTTATTAATCTTACTGTGAGAGTGAATTTTGAGTTTATACTTAAAGGTAATCTCTTTGTGTGTTTATGTGTGTTAATAACGAAAAGGGAAAATTTTTTTTTATTAACGTTTCTTCTAAATTAGTCAGGTAATTAATAAAGTATCTTTTTTCAAACTGTAACAAGAACTTGAGTTGATTTGTTAAGTTAATTTGATAACATTTTCAATCAATCTAAGCTTAAAAGGTTATATCTTGTTTATTTCCGAAATATTAATTTATTGTGATATATTTAAATAAACAAAAATCATCTTAATTATCTATATTATTTAAAGCACTTATCTACAATGAATTAAAGTTTATTATTCAGTTAAATGCGTATTTCCTAGAAAAATGTTATGAATGTTTTTTTTTTTTAATTAACCTTTGTACAATGATGTTGATATTGAATTTAAGTGAGACCCCTTCACATAACACAGTAAGGGGGTACAGAAAGCCTAACTTGAGGTGTATGCAGCTCCGATTGTAGGCTCTCTGATTGGATCCGAAGTCTGTCTTTTTGCAGAGGAGAGGTGTAGCCGTGGAGACTGTGCCATGGCAACGACAGCCAGGTTTGCTACAGCATCAGGAGGCAGCAACAGCAGCAGTCCTCCCACCCCAGCCCCAGCAACGACACCACCTGCACAGTCGCAGACAACCCAGCTAATTGTGTTACCGGCCAGTATTCACCAGGTATCGGAGCCAGTTTGCTCTCGATAGAATATACTCCTCCACCTTTTCTCCTTATTGATCTCTTTATCCATCTTTTCATCATTATCGATCACTTCTCCTTCTAAGAACTTTTCAAATATATAAGTTAGTTAAGTCACGTTTTGTTGTTTCCTTTGGAAAATTAAAACATTTTTCCAGGCTGCGACTAGTGGTACAATCGTCAATGGGGTGCCGGTAATCGACGTATCTGCTTTGGAACAAGCTGCAGACTCTAGTAACGAAAGTTCGGCGACAGCAGAACATCAGAGTGAAAGTCACGAAACGGAAGGAATCGAGCAAGTTTCTTCGCATTATATCACTGTTACCGGTAAGCCCTTTCTTATTCTTTTTAATAAATTTTTTAAAGATAAGTACCAAATTCACCTTAAATGAACTAAAGTTAAAGTTTCTTTGAGTTATTTTGGTTGTTTACATATTAACATATGAATATTTTTAGTAAGGTGAATTTGGTTGTAACATGATTTAAAATTGAAAATAAATTTATGTAGTTATTTTTGATACTAACACTAAAGCCAAAATTTGCTGTGCAAATTTACAGAGTGTTTCAAATTTAAATAAAAAAAATTGTTATAAATTACAAAGATATAAAGTTTTTTTTAATTAGATTTTCAAAAGCGTCTCCTAAAATTGCTTGCTTTTATTATTTTAGTATAGTAGAACGAGAAATCTTGCACATTTTCAATATTATATGCAGTTACGTAATTTTGTTACGGATGCTATTCGTCGTGAGAAAAGAGCTTTTATTGAGCGGGGTTGTATGATGAAAGGATCTAGTTTCATTGTATCATGGCTGACCCTGACAGTATCGTCTTATATATACAGAGTGTCCCGAAACTCAACGTTAAGTGGGCACCGGGTGAAAAGCCAACTCATACCTGTTTTGGTAAAAATAAGAAAAAAGTTCCATGTCTCTTAGTTAAGTGGTGATAGGCATATTTTTGAAAACGTTATAGTCGTTCCCGTACATCATATCTTTAGGTACTACAATCAGAAATGTTCGCAATTTAATAGTGATTTTAAAAAAGTTTCACTAGTGATTAACATAAGTCGTTAGTTTTGTAAAAAAAAATTATTGTTTGATTGAGCTCCGGTTGAAACAATTTCCCCATTAAGTTTGACACACCATTTCTAAAAAAAGGAGTAGTACAGGGTGGTTCAAATTCGATGTCCGAATAGGCTAACTCGAAAACTATAAGAGTTAGAAGAAAAGTAGCTGACATGTCATGATCTCGTTTTTCGAGAAACTGCTAATGCCGAAAACCTCATAGCGCTATNGTTACGGATGCTATTCGTCGTGAGAAAAGAGCTTTTATTGAGCGGGGTTGTATGATGAAAGGATCTAGTTTCATTGTATCATGGCTGACCCTGACAGTATCGTCTTATATATACAGAGTGTCTCGAAACTCAACGTTAAGCGGGCACCGGGTGAAAAGACCATTCATACCTGTTCTGGTAAAAAATAAGAAACAAATTCCATGTCTCTTAGTTAAGTCAGTTAAGTTAGACATATTTTTGAAAATGTTAAAAATCGTTCATATCTTTAATCAGAAATGTTTGCAATTTAATAGTGATTTTTAAAAAGTTTAACTATTGATTAACAAATGTCGTTAGTTTTGTAAAAAAATTTATTGTTTGATTGAGTTACGGTTGAAAGAATTTTCCTATTAAGTTTGACACACGATTTCTAAAAAACGAGTAGTACAACACCTTTGACAACTTATTTTAAAAGATGACCTGTTTAGTCAAGGTTCCAAAATAGTATAACACTTTCACCCCATTTTTCTTTTCCTAAAAAATATTATTACTTGTTTTTCTGCAACAGCGTATTAAAAACCGATTGAAAATCTTGCCGAACTGCGCCACAATATTTATACAGCAGCAAAAGAGATTTGCACAACTAGTAAAAAGATCTTTTCTGCGACGATGCAGAGCTTGTAGTAGTGCCGACGGCAAACAGCAATTTTACTTTAACTAGCTTTAATTTTAAGAAAATAATGCGATAAAATTAATAGTAAATAAATTAATAATTCCTTTTGTTTAATTTTGTCTTTAGGTTAACCTTATTCGAAACAGTCCTTTTGCAAGACATAAGGGCAACCATCTTGTTGAAACCACATTTTGTAGTTCGTAGATATTGAGTGGCGCATCTTCTAACGAAGTTAAGAGGAAATAAGACAATAATATTTATTATGAAAAGATAAATGGCAAGTGTTGCACCATTTTTGAGACTTGACTAAATAGGCCATCTTTTAAAATAACTTGCCAAGGCTGTTGTACTTCTCCTTTTTTTAGATATCATGTGTCACACTCAATAGACATAAATTCTTTCAACCTTAACTCAATCAAACTAATATGTTTATTTGCAAAACTAACGACTTTTATTGTTTGATTTGTGACTTCTATAGTAACTTGGTTCATAAGGAATACATTATTAAAAAAATCACTATTAAATTGCGAACATTTCTGACCCTAGTACCTGGATATACAGGGTGTCTCAACGAGACCGGTCATTAGACGTTTCTGGGGTTCTGGCGAAAATAAAAATTTGAGAATTCAGACTTAAGTATTATCAATTACGATCTCTTCGTCTAAAATATNCATTAACAGTTTCTCGAAAAACGAGATCATGACATGTAAGCTACTTTTTTTCTAACTCTTATAGTTTCCGAGTTAGCCTATTCGGACATCGAATTTGAACCACCCTGTACAACACCCTTGGCAAGTTATTTTAAAAGATGACCTGTTTAGTCAAGGTTCCAAAATAGTATAACACTTTCACCCCATTTTTCTTTTCCTAAAAAATATTATTACTTGTTTTTCTGCAACAGCGTATTAAAAACCGATTGAAAATCTTGCCGAACTGCGCCACAATATTTATACAGCAGCAAAAGAGATTTGCACAACTAGTAAAAAGATCTTTTCTGCGACGATGCAGAGCTTGTAGTAGTGCCGACGGCAAACGGCAATTTTACAGCTTTAGTTTTAAGAAAATAATTTGATTTGAAATTAATTTAATTTAATAATGATGAAAAATTAATTTTAGGTTAATCTTATTCGAAACAGTCCTTTTACAAGACATAAGGGCAACCATCTTGTTGAAACAACATTTTGTAGTTCGTAGATATTGAGTGGCGCATCTTCTAACGAAGTTAAGAGGAAATAAAGAGTAAATACAAATAGTATTTTTTGCAAAATAAGACAATAATATTTATTATGAAAAGATGAATGGCAAGTGTTGCACCATTTTTGAGACTTGACTAAATAGGCCATCTTTTAAAATAACTTGCCAAGGCTGTTGTACTTCTCCTTTTTTTTGGAAATCGTGTGTCACACTCAATAGACATAAATTCTTTCAACCTTAACTCAATCAAACTAATATGTTTATTTGCAAAACTTTTTGATTTGTGACTTCTATAGTAACTTGGTTCATAAGGAATACATTATTAAAAAAAATCACTATTAAATTGCGAACATTTCTGACCCTAGTACCTGGAGATATGATGTACGGGATCGATTTTTAACATTTTCAAAAATATCTCTATTACCACTTAACTAAGAGATATAGAATTTTCTTATTTTTACTAGAACAATTGACCTTTCACCTAGTACCCGCTTAACGTTGAGTTTCGGGACACCTGTACACGCAGATATACAGGGTGATTTATAACATAAGGAGGAGACTAAATGGGTAGGTACTTGAGGTCAAACTGAAGAGATTTTCTTAATAATGTTTTGTTAAAATCTTAATAGTTACATAGATATCGCATGTTAATTTTTTAAATAAGTTAGCGTCAACTTTTGAGAACCGCTGATATTCACTAAAGAACAATTAAAATACTTGTCAACGCCATCCTCATTTTTGAAGGAGCTGTCAAAGTAGACAATTTAATTGTTTAGTTTTAATACGTAATTTATGAAAAGAAATAATAGATGTTAATTTATGAAACGGATAATAATAATGTTTTAAATGCAAAATTACAAAATCTCTAAAACAAGAAAATAACATAATAATAATAATAATCTCTTTATAACATATGTTCAAAGTGCTGTCCTTGCATTTCGACGCACAANTAGAAATCTGAAAATATTTTAGATGAAGAGAACGTAATTGATAATACTTAAGTCTGCATTCTCAAATTTTTTGTTTGGCCAGAACCCCAGAAACGTCTAATGACCGGTCTCGCTGAGACACCCTGTATGATTTAGCAATAGTCTCCTCCAGATTCATCGTCTTATGATATATATAGAAGAAAAACAACTTGTGTTTGCATTGAACGATGACAATTTATTCTAATTAATGTTTTATCTTCATAATGTCTTGGATGGTTAATATTTCAAGGATGATTTTTTAAAAAATTTTTAAAAATTTTAATAACTTTTCAAATGTTTCGGCTTATATTTCAAAATTTTTCAATTTCACTGAATACTTTCAATTTCACAATTAAATTCAAAAAGTTTTAAAGAAAATTTAGTCAAGATTTGGAGTTTAATTAATCAACATTTGATGATTTTCGAAGAATGCTGAACGATGTTTCTAAAACCCAATGTAACTCCCAAGAAAATGTGTGAACCCTTTAAGATGGAGTGTTAACATTTGACGGTATTCAATTTCCCTACTTGTTTAAGTCAGTATTAGTAATGTTGTTTCCTTAAATTTTAGTCGTGCCTGAGGACGGTTACACGAAGTAGCCGAAACAGTCTGTAGCACCGATTTTATAAATAAATAAATTGTCATCGTTCAATGCAAACACAAGTTGTTTTTCTTCTATATACCCTGTATGATGTACGGGATCGATTTTTAACATTTTCAAAAATATCTCTATTACCACTTAACTAAGAGACGTAGAATTTTCTTGTTTTTACTAGAACAGGTATGAGTTGGCCTCTCACCTAGTACCCGCTTGACGTTGAGTTTCGGGACACCTGTACACGCAGATATATAGGCGAGTTTTTTTTACATAAACCTATATATGTTGCCTATTCTCAGCTATTCATTCTATAGCCTTTTCTCGCATCCGAGCTTCCATTTTTTCTATTTCGCCAGTAACTTTCACTTAGTCCTTTCGACTCGATATTCTCCTCAACTTCCACTCTCCAGGACCGCCTTGGTTTTCCTCGTTTTTCCTCGTTTTCTTCGATTTGGCGAATCCAGTTTTTCATTTTCTTTGGCCATCTTTCCTTCGTCATCCATTAAACATGTCCGAACCATCATAACCTGCTTACTACTCTAGATCTACTGTTAGTTCTATTTTTAGTTCAATGAAAATATACAACATACTGACGCTGAAAAACAACTAGAACTAACACTAGACCTAGTACTAGAAACTTTCGGGTTTAGCCGTCTTTAGAGATGCACTGCTAATGTTATCAATGTTACTAGGTCTAATGTTATTTATAGTGATAGTGTTATTTCTAGTTTGGAAATCTCAAGTTACTAAATCTCTACTTAATACATGGATAAAATCTGTAGATTTTGATATTGTTTTATAATTAAATTGAGTTTGTAATTGATAGAATTTATTCTTTAAATATGAAACACTCTGTAATAAATAAGTTCCCTACAGTAGCAACCATGAAATTTTTCTTTCTTTTAATGCTATCAGAAGCAGCGGCTAGGTCCTATGCTTCCTTAACACCCGTGCAACCCACCGTAGGTAAGCACAACACAATAGCACACGATGTTCCAAAATCGCACACCCCAATTCAAAAACTTTATACGATGAAAATCTCTTACTCCTATTTTTTAGTTTTCATTTTTCCTTTTACCTTATATCGAGATCAATCAAGGGAGATTTTTCGATCCCTCCGCGAGATTTTGGCGTACAAAAAAATTGTATTCGCTCATCCCCGTCCGACATAATCTCCTCTGATTATCCCGATATGATGATGTGAATCACCTTGCACAGGTTTGCAGTTGGGGTTGGTCGATTGTTATCTGAAGGTGGACGGTGATGGGGTGAGAGCTACAGGTAGGGGGACCGATCATGCCCCATTCGAGTGAATGTTACTTCCAGTTTGGTGAACACGTGAGATTATGCTAGGTGGAGGAGGTGGTGGTTGAATTGCAGTCGTGTGTGCGATCATGATTTTTTGTGTCTGTATGGTGAAGGAGGTAGTTGTGTACGGGGTTTTGTCCAAGTAGAATGTCCTTTAGTAATAATATGTTTAGTGCTGTTTGTTCTTTTAGATGTGATAATGGTAAATGTTTTTCAAAATACGCTTATTAATCATTTGGTGTCGGTAAAGGTGTTTTGTTTTTGTACATTTTGATTTAGTTGCTTCAGAAGGAGATACAGTGGCATCCCATCAAGGTTATCATGTTCAATATGTGGAACCGGAAATATACGCTGCTCAAACTAATGGTGGTCAAGCACAAATGTAAGTTTAAATCACAACGTTATTAATTTAATTACTTAATAAATATTTAGGGCGTATCCGATTTATACTGTTGGAGAAGCTGGAACAATTTATGCAAGTCAGGGTCAATATTACGCTGCGAATGCAACAACAACGGGTGCATCAAATGCTGTCGGATATACAACCACTGGAGGACATTATTTAGTTCAACCTGCTGTCGATCCTGAAACTCTTATCGCTTCAACCAGAAATTCACCTCAAACAACTACAGCGGCCGTAAGTGTTTGAATTTCATAATTTATACAAGTTTCGCGTAGAATTCTTGTCTCATGAAAGCGGTATTGATTGCATTTCTCTTATTTGATATCGTATTCCTACTAATCTCGTTTGACTAACATAATCATTCACTACTATTCGGTTGCGGTTGCTAACTAATTTGGTAACAGGAAACGAGTTATGTGGCGACGGCCACCGTGCATGCGACACCGTCTTCTGGGCAGGTGAACGAGGAGGTCGGGTCCGCGCTTGGCCACGCTACTAGAGTATCCCCTGCGACAGTAAGTTCCCCATTTCCCCAATTTTCGAATTTAATAATCGTACTTATTATTTTTTATTATAAACACAGCATGGTTTACGTTATTTTATGTCGTAGATTCTTTATAGATAACTTTTTTAATATTTGAGGTATTAAATATTTTTTATAAAAAGATTTTGACAGCACTATGAAAGAAAGGAAAATGTAAGCAAATGAAATGTTACTATAATCTGTTTTTTATTTAAATCAATTGTCAAAGTGTCGTCAAGTTGGTATTGAAAGTAAAAGCGCATGTCGTGACTTTTACTTTAATTGAATGCCACCACTGTCTATCAAATTTGTTAAGATTGATTAAAAAACAATTTTCATATAATTTTTTTGCTGCTAAATCTACCATAAAAATGTTAAGAAAGGGTGGAACGGGATGTCAACTGTCTAAACGCGAAAAAAACTCTATAATTAGGTATTGTGAAGAAGTACAGACGGAGACACCAAATACGAATTTAAAATATATATGTGATAAAGCTTCACGTATTTTTGATGTATGTGTATTGCACTTGAGTTTTAAAATTAAATTTATATTCAACATAATTGTATTAGGTTCACAGCACGACGGTTTTTAAAATTATTCAAACCTACAAAAANAACTTCGTTTAGAATATACACAACCTTACTTATTATTTAGTGGAAAATATTATAAAGCGTGGTCATAGAACATGGTATCTAAGGTGGTACAGACCGTTTTTTTATAAAAATTTGGCAATGACAATTGATTAAAATAAAAAACAGATTATATAAGATTATTCAGTTTTTTGTAATATTATTAGAACTATAGGCTAAATAAAGTTTGTGCTTTATCTTTTTATCCAAGAATGGTTTTGATCACGATAACAAAACAAATTCTAATTGTTAATATATAACGGAACAAGCTACATAATACAATTATACATTTTACAAGAGCAACTTTTCATACTCCGTTTCGGGTTGATATCATATTAATTGTAGAGTCTCTGCCAGAAACAACTCCAGCTTAATCGGATAATATCATATACTTTCTATTTTAATCAAGTCGAGGCCCAACAATGTTATAATCAGTTTCGGGTTGATATGATATTAATTGGAGAGCTCCGGCCGCAAGCGACCTCGACTTACAAGGGAAGTATCAGAACGGTCCCTCACCGATTTTGTTGAAATTTTGTACAGCGATAGTATTTCAAAAAATAAGGTTTACATATTTTTTTATACGGGCTAATAAAGCCCCTGGGGCGAGTTATAAGGGTTGGAAATCGTGGCGAAATATATACAGGGGTGATTATACAGAAACTATCATTTTTCACATGGTAATTTGAAAATAGTTTTTTTGTTCCAAATTTTGTTTTTTAATACACAAACACGAACTTTTGTTCAAAATGAACCTTGCAAAGTTCAAGATCAAACAGTTCAATTATTGTCTAGCCAGAATNATTTAAATAAAAAACAGATTATATAAGATTATTCAGTTTTTTGTAATATTATTAGAACTATAGGCTAAATAAAGTTTGTGCTTTATCTTTTTATCCAAGAATGGTTTTGATCACGATAACAAAACAAATTCTAATTGTTAATATATAATGGAACAAGCTACATAATACAATTATGCATTTTACAAGAGCAACTTTTCCTACTCCGTTTCGGGTTGATATCATATTAATTGTAGAGTCTCTGCCAGAAACAACTCCAGCTTAATCGGATAATATCATATACTTTCTATTTTAATCAAGACGAGGCCCAACAATGTTATAATCAGTTTCGGGTTGATATGATATTAATTGGAGAGCTCCGGCCGCAAGCGACCTCGACTTACAAGGGAAGTATCAGAACTGTCCCTCACCGATTTTGTTGAAATTTTGTACAGCGATAATATGGCAAAAAATAAGGTTTACGTATTTTTTTATACGGGCTAATAAAGCCCCTGGGGCGAGTTATAAGGGTTGGAAATCGTGGAAATATATATATTCGCTTATAGGCTGTAAACGAAAATAGCTATCGAAATGTGGTAAACGTAAACTGATACTCATTTTCAAAGAGCTTTCCATTGATATATCACACATATATCTGAGGGCTTCGGGGGGTAAACTACCCTTAGTTTTTTGGAATATTTTAAAAACTACCCTGTCGATTTTGACGATATTATGTATCCTTATAATACATTTAAAAATATTACGTATGAAACCTGCGTAAATCTTAATTTACATCTAATTAATGATTTTCTTCAAAAGTGTAACAGTTTATCACATTATTCTTAAGTAAAGAGGTTATCTATCATACCCCGTAACTTTGCAGGGGATGCACAGTGTTAGGAAGTTACGAATATGTGGCCAAAAATCTAATTACAACTAAATGAAGTTGAAAATGTTTACTACCTTTATAATATCTTCTTAATGGTTAGCTAGGATTTATTTAATCTATATACAGTGCTTAAAACAAAATTTAGGATGTTGAAACGAATATTTGAAAATAAAAGCGAAACAAAGGTTTTGCTGTGGTTTGGGTTGGATCTTTAAGCTAATATAATTCCGAAAACATGGTACATTTATTTCCTGTACCCTAACAATAAGTATATATGCTTATATATATATAATATATATACACTGTGTACATAAAGTATGGAATCAATTCGATAAAAATTCGGGGGATATTCTTCCAGAAAAAAGGCTTGGACATCTATGTTATATTTTTTAACGCGCATTTTTCCAGATAAAATTGAAATGTAGAGGTGTCCCAAAATTGAGATACCATGCCTAAGTTGACATTTTAAAATAGGAACCCACATTTTTTTTGTTGCATTTATGGATTATACGTAAATTTTGAGTGTTTTTCATGTAGCTGTCTTCGAAACAGTAGCAGTTAAAAAAATACTCTTACTATTTTATTTGCAATAATAGAGTAAACTACGCTATTCTTTGTTTCTGTGTTAATTTGTGACAAATGTTTAATAATGTAGTGATAACCATAAATTATGTTTTAACCCATAAGCAAATTT